ATATTACATGATCACTACAATCACTCATGAGAGATCTGTTCAAAACTCAAACTAAGATAAAATCTGTATATCCGCATGCCCATGTTATATCCTCTTTTTATCATATAACTATCTATGAAAAACCTATATTTCTCCATTTTGTAAAAGTGATATTTTCACTAGTGAAAATAGCACATTCGAGGTTTCTCTATATAGTGGATTTGAGAAAAAGGTATTTTACGACAAAATTTGCTTTCATATGTAATTACATAATAAACAGAATATTACATGGTCGCTTGGAGATATGAATTTTATCTTCTCATGTTGAAAATCTCTCTTTTCAACATTCAAAGATAAAATCTGTATCTCTGCGCACCCATGTAATATCCTCTATTATCTGAAATGTTCTATAAATAATTATTGTCATTGTTAATTATGTACTCACTTGTTCCCAAGGCAATTGAAGATCTGCTATCTTATTATTTTCACCAATACCAGGACCAAGTTTAGAGAGCATTAGTTTAAGTAGTTTGTCAGTCTGTGAGTGAAATTGTTTTCTAACACCTTTGACCGTTTCAAAGAACAGATATCCAAGTCCTTCAATCATATCAGAATCACCATCCAATGATATAAATAACATATTCAATAGCTGGCTATGGTCTTTGACTTTCCTCACAAGAAATGCAAAACTYTCAGCAGCAAACTGACGGATGTGAGGTTTCTGTTCATTATTAAAGAGTGGTGAGTACAACCTGAAATTAATAATAATTAAAAATAAAAAAATAAGATCATGTGCACATGTTGTAGTAGAATGCTCGCACTTAAAGTGTGGAACAAATAGAACTAATTTCTACTAAATAGTGTTGATTATACAATAGGAAACAAAGGAATTTGTATAATTTATCACCTATTTTGTAGTATTTATATTTCACGCATTTAGTGCGAGCACTCTAAGAATGTGCTTCATTGTAGCCTTTCCTTCACAGAGGTGGTGGCTACTAGCGTTAAACTAGTATGAGCTGTGTTCAGTGTTTAATCTAAAGAAACAGTTGTGTAAATTTAACACCTTAGATGAAACAACTTACTGAAGTTTTGGACGTTGATCCTTCGTTAGAGGATTAACAAAGGATTAATCTCCAAACATCAGTACTGTAAGCTTTTTCAACTACCTTTTTACGGTGTTAAAGTTATCTTTAAATTTACACAACTGTTTCCTTCCAAGACTCCTCTTTTATGATAATGACACTTATCCTTGCTAACTTACCTAAATACATTTTCCATATCTTTGATCATGTATTTCCACAAGAATTTAAACAAGTACCCAATTCCTGTGAATATTTGCTCCAGTGCTTCACTGTTTAAAGCATTTCGGCTCAAAAGCACRATAAATGCATTAAAAAACTCGGTAAAATAGGGATAAAAATCGCATTGCAAATCACGCGCAAGTTGTATAACGATATCAATAAGAGGCTCCAGGGCTAATGTGTCTTGCACCAAAAGATGTTTCTCAACAGCTRACATGACTGTTTCTTTGTGGTGAACCAGCTGAGCTAGTGTCTGTACTAAGGGCTCTACTTCTTTTACAAAGTTCTGGAAGTGAACAGTACAGTTTAACTCCCTCCATTTGTTTAAAGCTTCATTGCAAAAGGTCTCTGTTTCTTCTGGTTCTGTTGTAGTTGTTTCAACACGATGAGCAAYATCGATTTTTATGTTGGAAATTCGCTCGGTGAAACCTTGGAACTTAAAGGGATTTYTGTCCTTTCCTTTTKCCATTGTGAAAAAGATTGAACAAACTGGAAAATAGTTTATCAGAGCATGGAAATCAAACAAAATGACCTAAAACTGTTTTGTTGTTATTGAACCATGTGCGTCCGCCATATTGAAGTTATTCGACGGAGGAAAACCGGGGCGACTTTTTGACAAAACAGGAAACCCGTCATGTGACTTTTATCATGCGGAAATCGGCAATGAAAATGTGTTCTGCATTTTTACTATAACATCATTGCAATATGAAGACATTTTGTCTCAAATGCTGCAAAGTCAAGCATTTAAGATATTTACCATTCATCTTTGTGGGTATATACATATTCCGACTAATTCTTCAGGTTTTACAAGTCAGTGATGATAATGGACATTTTGATCTTGACGGCTTTGTCATTTGCATATCGATAATTGGTGGGGCAATTTTCTTTCGAATAGGTTTTTGCATCATAATGTATTTGCTGGTAGGTATTGCTATTATAGTTTTAATATACCTGACTGACTCACTAACCGACCGATCGATCGACCGACCGACCGACAGACCGAACGACCGAACGACTGAAAGTCGCGAAATACAACACGCTAGATAAAATTGTATGTTATAGTTCTAACACGAGAACCGGGCTTGTCATTTTATTTGATAGTATTATGGCAAGCATCGGCGGCGAAGCTGTAACTAATGTGCTTTGATAGTATAATATTCGCCCAGTAACTAATATTAAATTCAATTTCATCCTGTTTTTAGGTAAAGGCATTCCCAGTGAGCTTCGAAAATAGGAAGGGTATATATAGTGGAATAAGTTCTTTGCCACTTGAAACAATCCTTCTMAATATCGACAATGGTTTTCCGGCAGTTGAAGGCGTGCACTTGATAAAAGATGAGGTACTACKTTTCTTGGAGGAAATTAAACTGCAGGTAGAAAGAGCAACCTCTTCCTCTATTTCACTTTTCTTTGCAGGAAGCATAGAAGAGAAATTTGGAATTCCTTATTCCAGAAGGAAACAATTCAATCTTCCATCACCATTGAATGCTTTGTACTCGGATTATGATGTCATGTTCTGTTCTGAATCGTACAACGCTACATTCAGTCAAAGTGGGAACATTCTTATAGATCCCCTGTCTCCAACCAGTGGTTTCTCTCTTCCTGCTTTTGCCCAGATAATACCTTTAGAKTCTGAATATGCTGGAGACCAACCTCTAAATTCAATGGACTTCCTTAAGTCTSTAAATGAGGCTGTTAAGCATTCCAACGTTGACCATCTTCCAGGACTCTGCACACTAGGAGTATGCGGTACGACTGTATTTTCTCGTATTAGGGGACCCGCCATTAAAATTACAAGTTTGCCTGGTTCTGTGGCTGAAAAACTCACTTTGCCGCTCTTTGAAGGTGACATTACATTCTGTATCAAGTGTCCAGAATGGCCTCCCGTTAGTAACTGGCCAACCCGCACTAGTCGAATGTGGCCAAACAAAGACGATGTACAAAGGATTTCTTCAAATGGTATTCATTTGGTTGCATTTCCGCTTTGCGTTAATAAACACCAAATACTACCRTCATGGAGATACTCATTTTCCATGGCAGAAGTCGAGCTTTCAAAACTGGTCCCAGCTTCGGCCAGGAAATGCTTCTTAGCTCTTAAAATAATCCACAARGATCATCTAAAGCCAACCCTACCCGAACTGTCTTCCTACCACATCAAGACTGTATTCCTGAACACACTAGAAAAGAAACCAGAAAGCTTTTGGGTGGATGACAACATCGAAGAATGCTTCCAAACTCTTCTACACGAACTTCATCATTGTCTAGAGACTGGAAATTGTAAGCATTACTGGTTTGAAGGTTTAATAAACTTATTCGGCYGGTTGAAAAGTGGCACTATACAGAAAAGACTTTCTATTGTTCTCAAAAAGATGGAATTGATTTTAGAGGATCCTGCTCCATTTGTATGTGACGACGGATGTTGTTGTATTTGCGCTTGCTGTAACTGCTGCTGCAAGGAAAAGCGAGCAAGAAAGGAAGACATCAGTGTAGTGACCAATGTCGATAGTGATTCTTCTGATCCTATTTTACAGCAACCAACAGAAGCCGCAAGTTATGGAACGTTTCCCCAGGGACTGCAAGACATTGTGTAACATTTCAACAATCCCTGTTCGAACGCTTAAAAACAAAATCCTTATAGAACTATGACTTGACCCAATAGACCTCTGAAGCTATTATACGTCATGTGCCGTTTACGCATTATACATTGTAGGATATTGGGACAAAACATGGCGGATTTCTTTTGTTTTCTCCACAAACTAATCCCATGATACATTGAAAATCAAGTAGTGACGTAAAAGGTCCAGAAGTGTATGTTTTTCTGATAATTTTGTTACATGTCTTGCTCCTTAGAAAATGTGGAAAAGTAATCTCTACTATACTGCTCGTGAGAATGGCAATTCGATAAAATGTTAATTTGATCCCTATTCATGCAATTCCTAATTTTTGTGCAGAGCCAAGTGATATTTCCATAGATTCACTGCATGTTCTGAAGTCCCTAAAAAAAGCAGAGAATCACTCTTAAAAGAGCTTCATAAATACACCTTTTCAGTTGCTCTTAGGCCTCAATAGCAAGTTTTAACTAAAATTAATCTTTCGAATTTGACAAATGACACTATTCATATCAATGATTGCATTGCTCACATTCCTACAAATTCAAAAGAATATTTAACACGCTGTCGAGGCCTAAGAGCAACTGAAAAGGTGTATTCCTAGCCCCTGCTCCTACTCGATCCTGTTGTCTGTGCACGTTGTTAGCTCCGTTGAAGAAATATAAACTCCACGAACTCTACATGCAAATAATTTAAATCATATAAATGGTATTATTCAAAGTGTTTAGAAACCCATCGTCATGATCATGATCATTATATATACTTGGTATATCTTTTATTAAAAACAAAAATGCAAGACTTACATTATTTCATTATCTTTTTGTAGTCACGTATAGTACWTATAAATTAAAATAACAAAATTATTGTAGGACAGTGTGAACATATCAGYAGTCCTCTATTAATACAAAAAAGAAAGCAATATTAAATTCTCAATTAGATGGCCAACAGTAGCAATAATTAGTAATTATGAATCTATTATATATGTACAGGGTTCGACCCATTAATTTATTAAAAACGCATCTCAAACTGATACTATAATAGCCGTCATATTGAGTTACATTGGTTTAACACTCGTAAAGGAGTTGATCCCAACTTCATCTTTATCGCTTCAATTTATGAAAGTTTTTTTCATGACTTATTAAATGACTAAGTTGTCTAAATTTTCCATCGCAAAGTTTGCAATGATAAGGCGTATCACCGGTATGAATGCGAATGTGCGCTCGCAAGTTTCCAATTTGAGAAAAWTTTTTTCCGCAAATATCACATTTGTATGGTTTGACTCCAGTATGGACGCGTTCATGAACTTGAAGATTACCAGCTTGGGTGAAACATTTGCCGCACGTTTTACACTGATGAGATTTGGTACCAGAATGAATATTCATGTGATTGGAAAGAGAAGCTTTTCCAGGAAATACTTCCCCACATACATGACAGGTAATTGCACCCTTGGTATGCGTGCGTGCATGTCTATCAAAGCGGTGTCCTCTGTCAAAAGTCTTTCCACAAACTTTGCACTTGTATGGTCTTTTACGGGGGGGTTTGGCAGCGTTTGATTTGCTTGTATTTTTGGAATTCGGAGAATGCTGCTTAGTCTGTTTTTCTTGTTCAAAGGTGGTTTTAGTATTTGCGTCAGTTGATGACTGGTTGTTGCAGCTTTGACTGTTTTCTTTTCTTTCTTCCTCGGTAGGCAAGCCGTTGTTAGTAGTTGCACTGATCTCATTCGACAATTGCGGATTTTSTATTTTGCTTGCTGAGTTTCTTTGTTCTTCGACATCGTTGCTTGTATTTAYTGTTCCAGTGATGCTTTGATTGCCTGAATATTCGTCACAATTCTCCTCTTTTATTGGTTTGTTACCATCAATCATTCCTTCATTTCTAGCATCGTTATTACTTGTACTTACTGCTGCTGCATCAAGATCTTTGTTAACTAAAGKTTCCTCCATCAGTTCATCCAGTAACTCAATGTCAGTATTGTTTGCTTCTGTAGCACGGTGTTTATCTGAATTTAATTTATTGCCACCATGCACTTCTTTAGTTGCAACATTACTATTAGTCACTGCTG